AATACTAATTACTTGGACATACCTGATGTGTGGTTTTCCAACATCTCCTCTGCCATGGATGGAAATTTATCTTACCAATGTAAGATTACAATTTTTTTTCTTTTCTTCTTATTTTTGCCATTAACATTACATAGATAAAAGTTCTCATCAAGGATAATGAGGAAATTACGATTTGTAATATTATGATTTCTGATACAGAAGATCATCTATAAAACGCAACTGTAGAGCATACTTTCATCGTATTACAAATCGAGCTCTATAGGGTAGAGACTCGTGCTGATAACGTGTTATAAAACTAGAAAGAAAAGAGAGAGAATAGAGAAAATATTTCTAGTCCACCACCATTAATTTTATGTATGTGAATGACTATTTTGTCCCCGATATAATTGTATTATTACGGTTGTGCCATCAGAAGTTTCCTATAAATAGGAGCTTAAGTTATAATGAAAAACACACCTAAGAAAAATATTTTCTCTATTCTCTCTCTTTTCTTTCTAGTTTTATAACACATATGAAATTTTATCCTCAAAAATTTGATACAATTATAATATGATACAATTACTTAACTTACTATAATATGAAAACAAATTATGATATGATATAATTATCACATTTATTATTTTAATATTATATACATACATATAATTTAATATATTTATTTATATATGACATGTACACACTTCACCAAATTCTAATTCTAATTATTTATTTCTAAATACAATAGATTAAAACCTTTTTTTGTCTACTCTTGTGTTCGGAATATCGAGTAAAATCGGAAATAATTTAATTCGGGGTGGCCAACTTTTTGAAGAGAGATTCCCAGCTCGTGATATACTGATATTGCTTTTACTTTCCACACATTAAAAAAAGTTACTAAAATAATCTCAACATTATATATAGTCAAAGAATTCAACACATTTGTACCGAAAAAATAAAATAAAAAATCAGCACATTACACTTATTTGATTCTCATTTTTCTAACATTTATTATGATGGAAAATATTCATAACTCATTAAAAGAAAATATTATTTAAATATTTGAATTTGAAATGGGATATAATTCATGCTGGACGTGTAAGTAAACAAAAAAAAAAAAAAAAAGAAGTTGTCATAAGTAAAAAGCAATTAATGAAAAAAGAGGTTTGACCAAAAATTGACTTGCCATTTTTGAAAAATGGCAAATCTTTTTTTATATATATAGATGGAAGATGAATTATATCGTGTTTAGATGTTCTTGAGATTGCGATCTTTATCGTCTGTCCCCGACTGCTCCCCCTACGCCTCATGTACCACCTCGCTCACGATCATCAGCGCCTCATAACTCCGCGGGCCGTTCGATCGTCTCTGACTGCACGACTTACCCATTCATCTATGTTACAAAGATTAGACGACGATTCAAAAGTTGGTTACCTTATGATGTTTAAATATAATTAAATTAGTAATAAAAATATAGTATATTTGCGGTTTATAACCGATTTAGTTATTGTGTTTACATTTTTCTAGTGACATATATTGTTCAGTTAAATATGATGTTTACACGTTGTTCAGTTATACTTGAACATTAAACTTTTTGTTTATGTTTACATGTTGTATATAATTATTGATGTTATATTACCCCTACAAATGTGGTTCTATGAGGTCTTTTCATATTATCATGGATCAACACCATTGTTGTAGACATTATTTGTCGGGAAAGTAAAATTAAGGTTTACATTACTTTTACATTGAGTAAATGTGGAATAATACACCGTAAATAGAATAAAATATCAAATTTAATACAATAAGGAACTCAATTAGCATTTATCGTCTTTATTGATCACCATTCATCTGACCATATATGAAATATTTTTTGGTAACATACAAATATAAAGATATGTTTGATTACATGTTAATATCTTGCTATTTTCCTTCCATAACTAACTACAAGCGTAATTTTCATACTTAATAAAAGTTTGAGACTACATAGGGGGTGATTGTTTATGGTTTGAATAGTAAAAAAACTAGAATTTTTTAATTATGGTTAAGTTTAAGAAAAAATTGTATGGTTAGTTGTTAGTGGATATATTAAAATAGTATTTAAAATAAAATAGTTAAAGTTGATTTGATGTAAAGTAGGAGAAAAATGATTGGAAGTGATAGTTAGTTAAAATTAGTTAGAATTATGTGAGTGGATGAATAGTGAATTAAAGTTGATGTGATATGTAATAATGATTTGTTGATGTTATTTAATTATATAATAATATTGGAGATAGTGGGGTTGAGTTAAAGTTGAGTTAAATTTGAATTTGAGTAAAAAAAATTACTGTAGGGATGATAAACAATCATGCCCATATGAATTTAAAGACGTTGATATGTGTACTTTAACGAAAAAATTATGGTACTGAAAAATGCTACATGTACATATTAAGTTTTGCATGTAGACAGACTAATACACGATGTGGCGTACCTAAATAACATTTTCAAATAAACCATCTACATGTGAAGTTGTATAATTTTTTATCATTTGTACATCAAATGTTTATGTACAAGTAGAAATATCCACCTTTAGAACACAATTAAGTGTCTAAGAGGCTTCAAAGGTCAAAAGGAATACATACAATCGTCTACAATAACACATCATGGGAATATGTACACTTCAATCCAACTTTGATACACATTTAAAGAGTTCATTTTTTTTTTCCAAACGAGAATTTAATGTCATAAACAATTAAAGTGATCCCATACTCTTTCTTATTATCTCTTTTTTTTTTTCCATCAATTGTATCAACCTACATATATATACAATCAAATAACTCATCATAATCATAATTCAAACTAGTATTCAACCTGTGCATTTGCATAAATGCAAATAAAATATTGTGAGTTATTTGTATGCATTTAATGATTAATTATTTTTCTTTCACCTTTTTGCTGGCTAAATGTACAATTAAAGGAGTTGAAATATCTATTTTTTAAAAAAAAAAATTGCGTTTATCTGATTGGATGTAATGTATATTTTGGTATATCTTTTTTTGTGAATTATTTGTTATTTATTTAAAAATTTCAAATACGTTTTTTATTTTAAAAATAATAATAATTTAAATTTAACCACAATTATAACATCTAATCACATTAGATGGTCAACTGTCAATAATCAAAAGTTTAATATGATTTTTGTAATTTTGAAGTGATTAGTGTTGATTATTTAATAATTAAATGAAAGATTAAATACATCAAAAGTAATGATTTTTGGAGGGAAACGAGTTAAATTGCCACATCGGTAAAATTAAATAAGTTTTATTAAATACTATTAGCTAGTATATATATAAATTTCGGGGGATTATGTTATGTGGCGGTGGCTGATTTTTCTCTGGAAGTTGCTTTTTGTCATTTAATGGGACAATCTAATTACAACATGAATGAATTGTACAGTGAAATGCAAAAGAGTTTGTAATTTGTACATACAATAGAAATATTTAAATTTAATTACTTGTTGTGTTGTATATAATATGGGAAATATTTAAATTTAATTAGTTATTGTGGATTTTACAAAATAGCTATTTTAAATTTAAGTGTGTATTTAATTGAGATTTTTAAAAAAAATTTGAAGAATTTTTAAGACTTTGAAAATTATGGTATAATTTAATTTAGAGTTCTCAAGACTTACAAAAGTCTTGAATATTCATTTGGTATTCATCCCGATGTATTTAATTATTTGAGATTAAGATTTGTTAAAAATTTCTAATTGAAATTTCTAAAGAAATAAACATATACTAAAACTCATTACAAATCTCACATCCAAACTTAAAATTTCATATGATTCCTCTAATTTAAAAATTTCAAATCTCAAATAGCCTTTAAATGTCACTCGAATTCCAAACGAATACACCTACTTGTCGTGGATTTTACAAAAGTTACTTGCTAAAGAAGTATGAATATCTAGTTGCCACTTAGAATTGGTAAATTTTACTAAATGTAGTTAGGACTATATTGTCGAAATTTTTTACTAAAATCAAAAACAACTTTAGTTACTAAAAAACAAAGTATCATAAATTAGTGAGAATAAATAGATAAAATATTGTGAGTGAATCAATTTTTTGATAATAAAAAAAATTATTTTCGAAATTCAAAAGGTACTAAAGATAATAAGTAAAAAAGAGAAATGTAACGGCTACACAGTAAATGAGATTTTGACCAATATTAACATAGCAACACATTAATACAAATCAAATATGTTTTTATAATAAAAAAAAAAGTAATGTTTTTTGACGGAGAAAGTACCACGTAAGTATAATTTAATAGGTTTTATTAAATATTTATGAGCTAGTAATTTTATATATAGAGATTTTGAATAATCAACCCATAACTCCACAACTATAATCATAGGGAACAAAGAGGACTCACAATTCAGTCCAAATATTCAGTCAAATAACTATCATTACAAATATTTGACTATGTTAAATAACCATCAGTCACAATCCTAAGAAATCAAGTAAACTTACCCTAACCACATGACTATGTTTGGTAAAACTAGCTGATAAACTAGCTGATAGCTGATAAACTAGCTTATAGCTTATCAGTATTTTTTCAGCTTATAAGCATTATAGCATATGACTTATAGTTGATAAATTAGCTTATATGATAAAAGTGTTGGACAAAATTAGCTGATAAGCTAGCTGAACTAAAAAATTCAACTAGCTCATTTGAAAAGCTACCTTAGGTAGCTTTTCAATTAAGCTCGAGCTTTTTAAAAACCCGTCCTACGCTTATTTGAATACAGAGAGCTTATAAGTTAATCAAATAAACTATAAGCTAGCTTATTGGTCTACCAAACATAGCCATAAAACAAGATAAGAAACTTAAATAACTTAACCTAAAACCCAATGCAAGATAATACACCTAAGATAAAACTACCTAACTTCACTACCCTAAACTAAACTTTTCAAAAAAAAAAAAAAAAGATTTAGTTTTGAAAGAAGAAAATGACATATCTTAGGGGGATAACAAGTCGTAGTCATCTACTACTGAGGTGGCGGAAGGATATGTCGTCCTGCATTTTGTTGAAGGAGCTGAAGGATCGACCGGATGTCGACTCTTATTTCATTAAGGTCTATCCGCATCTCCGTGACATCAGCCTGGAGTCCCTCCTGCAACTCCGCCACCTCATTCCGGAGTCCCTGCACTTCTGAGTAGAGGGCACTCATCATCTCGTGCAAATCCGAAATATCCTCCTCCATTGGTTGATCGGGCTCGATGGACGGGCCTCCCTCGAGGAGAAGGTTCATCTCCTCTTCATCACCTTCATCTCCACCTTGAACTTCAATTTGGGCTGCTCTCGCTCTCGACTCATGGGTTGCTGGGAAATTATTGCCCACCTTTTCAAGAAAGAACAATTGGTCGTGAGAATTGACCTTTAACAAGTGAATACTTTAGGTAAGAGTCGTTTTTGTTTAAAAAAAAAAAAAA